AGCGGGCCTAGGGACTGCTCTCCACAAAGGATATTCTCAAATCCAAAACAATGCCCAGGACTCTACTTATTTTGAAATACAGCTATTTTTTTTTAATTTTTGAGCTTATCTAAGCCACTCACAATTCATCACAATAATTAATACTAGCTCATAGCCTGGAAAGGAATCTCTTCTTTACAAAAAAATCGAAAGATTTCTTTCTTTCTTTTTTAAAGATGATTTCTTCTGGGCACTAGAAGTAGACTTCACTTCTGCACAGATGTGGGTGTTTTGCTTGAGCCTGTGTTTTGGCTTCATGCTGGCTTTCAAGGGGATAGTCACCTTTAAATGAAAAAAAAAAAAGATATCAACTTTAACACTGTTTAAATACACATAGACAGACACACAAAATCAGGTGGGTCTTCATACTAAAATATTTCAATCCAGTAATAGACATTTCCAAAAGGAGTCAAGTTCTTTAAATAAAATCTTGTGAAAAATAAAACTCAAAATATACAAAGAACAAAACAGCATAAAAAAATGAGATACTATTCTGAACAGAATGCTAGAGAGGCATCCTCATTGCTGATGAGAGGAGACAAATGGACTACATGAGAAATCTGAAAGACGCTGAAACCGATGGTGGCTGCGCTTGTTCCTCTCAACCCACTGAGTCAGGCTGTATCTCTGCAGAGGTTTCTGTCGAAACCGGGCGTAATTTCTATCAAGAGAGAAAATAAAAACAGAAAGGATATTTCAATTGGAATGTATATGACACACTTTTATATGTATAAAAAATTCAGCACAACAATTTTTTTTCCTGGTACTGCTGATTGAACTCAGGACATTGCACTTGGGAGGCAGGCATGGCACCACTGAGCTAAATCCCCGGCCCCCTCAGCACAATTTTAAGAATATAAGGCTAGGTGGGCATGGTGGCTCACACCTGTAATCTAGCACTTGAGAGGCTGACACAGGAGAATTTTGGTGAGCTGGAGGTCAGCCTCGGCTACATAGTTTAAGGCCAGCCTGAACTATACAGCAAAAGAAAAAAAAAATCATGTATCAATCATTCATATATATTTACACATATATATTTTTGTACTGGAGACTGAATCCAGGGCCTTCACACTGACCTACATCCCAGCCTCATCTTATTTTTTATTTTGAGACAGGGTCTTGTTATGTCACTAAGTTGCCCAGGTTGAGCTCCAACTTGTGACCTTCCTGCCTCAGCCTCTCACAGCACTGGATATTTTATGTTTTGACTCCCATAATTTTAGAAATTTCATATTGTTTTAATTATATAAAAAGCACATTGTAAGTATTACTTCCAATTCTCAAAGCTACCAGTACCCACATAGGTATTATGGTGATATGTGCTACATACACAATGTTCTAAAGAAAACTAATATAAAATAATGTCTAAAAAAATATTCTCCATTCAGAAGTATTTAGGGCAACATCTGTACTTTATTGCTTTTATCAGACCTATATTCGAATAGGATCTCAATGTCACACAGTCCAAAGGTTGCTCAGGACATAGCAGTTAAAATTAGAATAAAACTCCCAGAAAAGGTAAGTCATCATGTGACTATCACATCACAAGTTTTGAGACTGAATAGTTAATAGCACAAACTTACAGTAAAGTTTTTTTTGTTGTTTTTTTTCCCCCAGTACTGGGAAAACTCAGGACCTTGCACTTGCCAGGCAGGTGTGGCGCCACTGAGCTATATCCCTGGCTCTAAAGTAAGGTTTCTTGAAAGTCTCCGTAAGTCATGTGCTGGGCCAGGTTTCTAAGCAAGACCTGAGATCATTTGATTCCATTCTCAATTATAAAACTGTTCCAAATAACTACCTAGGAAGCTTCTTAAAAACATGGAATCTTGGCTCCTTCCTTCCCCCAGACTTAACAACTCAGGATCCCTGGATTCAAGACCTGAATATCTGCATTTTTAGATATCTTCATATTTGGTTATGAGGAATAGATGAAAATAACTGTAACAGTTACCTGACATTTATCCATTGCTATATACAAATATTTGCTGAATTTTCTCTTTTTGAGGGGATGAGGGGGGTTCTGGGGATTGAACCCGGGGCCTTTACATCAAGCTATATCCCAAGCCCTTTTTTATTATTTGTTTGTTTATTTATTTTGGTACCGGGGATCAAACTCAGGTCCTTGTGCTTGCGAGGCAGGCAGTGGAACCACTGAGCTAAATCCCTGGCCCCAAGCCCTTTTTTATTTTGAGGCAAGATCTTGCTTAGTCATTCAGGCTGGGCTGGAACTTATGATCCTTCTGCCTTGGCCTCTCAGGATTGCTCAATTCTTTAAACCTCATCTCACTTAATGCTAGTAAAATCCCACTAGGAAAGTACTCTCATTGACTCTGAATACAAAACTAAGCCTCAGGTTAAATTGTCCAGGTCATACAGTAGGGTAAGGAGAAAGTCCTGGATGTGAATCTACATCCAACTTCAAAATTTACTTAATAGTAATTATACTATAACTACCACCACCATATACCCCAACAACACCACCCAGTGCCACGGATTAAACCCAGGGCGCCTTGTGCATGTCAGACAAGTACTCTAGCACTGAGCCAACCCTACACTGCTTTCCTGAGAACTGCTATGATTTTGACAACTATAGAGGAAACATTAGTGTAAGGACCCTGAAGGCAGAATATGTTTGATGTGCTTAAAAACAGCAAGGAAACCAGTGTAACTGCGACAGAATAAACAACAGGAAGAATAGTAGTAGATGAAGTTGGTAAGCCTATGCCAAAGCACACATTCCTCTATAGGTGACTGTGAGGATGGGAAGACAAGATGTAAAGCCCCTGGAACACATCAAGCAAAGAAGAGAATCTAGTATGCTTTAAAAAAATAGTTCTGGTTGCTGAGCTGAGAACAGACAGGCAAGGACAGAAGCAGGGAGAACATCTGAAATAATTCAAGTGAAATGATAAATGGTTAGGTTTTGGATATATATGTACAGCCTACTGAATTTGCTGATAGACTAAATATGGGATGAGAGAAAAGAGTCAAAGATGACTCCAAGGTTTTCAGTTAAATGAATCAATCTGTAAAGTTATACTCCATCAAGAATCCAGATCTTTGAACCAGAAAGATGCTTTGACATTAATTAGTTTAACATCCTCATTTGACTAGAGAGAAGTGGGGTAACTTGATCAAAATCATACAGCTAGTTAAACATTGCCAAAGTAATATTAGAACCCAGGCTTCCTGAACTTCAGTCTAGTTCTTAATCCATTCTACTGCAATGTTTCTTTTTCCACCTCTATAATTAAACAATTACAAGCCCACCACTCCCACATTCCCCCTGTAACCAAATTCTACACTTCTCCTAATCACCCACTCACCGCATGGTGAGATCTGAAGGATGCTGCCGATCCATCAAAGTATACAGCTCCCCCGAGGGACCTGTGATACAGAGGAATCAGTGGTTAGAAAGAACATACAAGAACTCTCCTAGTCTATGTCAGAGTATTGCTTTCTGGGAAAGAAAAACAGGCATTGGTCCCACTAATATTTACTTATATAATTATCATAAGCAGTCAGTACAAAAACTATAAGCCAGAGTAGGGCAACTGCTCTTAGATGATGATGTTGAAGTAATAATGGCAGCCATTACTCATTCATTCAACATTTATTAGCTCCAAGGGCTGGGGATTTGGCTCAGTGGTTCCGCTGCCTGCCTCACAAGCTCAAGGACCTGAGTTTGATCCCCAGTACCAAAAAAAAAAAAAAAAAAAAAAAAAAGCGCCCACAGTGGGAGAAGAAATGTACTGGTCCATAGGAATATGGTAGTAAACAAGACACTGTACTTGCCCCCCACAAGGAGACATGTGATTCCATAACTGTGATAAGTACAGTGGTAGGAGAAATAGAGGCTGTTGTTGAGAGTGGGGTTAAGGGATTAGTAAAAGCCCCTCTAAGGGAAGTAAACTATAAGAAGAGATCTAAAGGATATATAGAAGTTAGCAATGTAAAAGAGGAGTATGAGGTTGGGCAAAGGCCAAAGGCCAAAGGCCAAAGATTCAAGAAACAAGATGAGTTTGGAACAGTGGTAGCTGCTCTTTGCTAACAAGAAAAACTGCTAGAGGTTACTTCTCAAATACCTGGGTGCCTGGCAGCAAATCCCTAGGCCAGTGATGGTGAACCTTTTAGAAACTAAGTGCCCAAACTGCAACCCAAAACCCACTTATTGATCACAAGGTGCCCACATTGTAATTAAACCTGAATACTGAAGTTTTAGCTAAAAAACCCAACTTATTCAATGCTCAGCTGCTGGGGCAACTTGACTTCATACTGACAGAGAGGGCTCTGTATGCCCACTGCAGCACATGTGCCACAGGTTTGCCACTACTGTACTAGGCACTTCAAATGTTATCTTCTGTGGGGGGGGTGAGACAGGGTCTCACTCTGTAATTAAGGCAGACCTTGAACTCACTATAGCCCAGGCTGGCCTGGAACTCACATTGATCCTCTTGCCTCAGCCTCCTGAGTACTGGGATTACAGGCACGTGCCACCACACCCAGCTTATTTTATTTAATTATAAAAGTAGTTTACTTGCAGACAGTTTTTTTTTTTTGAGACAGGGTCTCACTATGTAGTTCAGACTGCTCTATAACTCATTGTGTAGCCCAGGCTGGTCTCGAACTCACAGTGATCCTCCTGCCTCAGCCTCCCGAGTGCTGGGATTAAAGGCATGCGCCACTACGCCTGGCTTGAAAATAGATTTTTGTTGTTGTTTATGTTTTGCATATAGGTGTTTTTGACATTTCAGAGACAGGAAACTAGTTTAGGGAAATGAACTTGCCTTAAATACTTAGTAACCCATAAATCAACTAGCTCTTTTGTGATACCATTCTCTTGCCACCATGTGATAATGCTAATTTTGCAAGGGCTGAGACTTAGTCTAAAACCCCACAGAAGCAGAACAAACACTACAGACATCCCTGTTTAACAACCAAGCTATATTCCTGTGACAAGGTCATTAAATGAATTGATTGCTAAATGAGGAATAGTACATATTATGCACATTACAATATTTAGAACAAAGAAATGGTCAAAGGAAACTCCAACTTAATGACTTTGCTTTTATTTGCATAACTCTTATAGGCAGCACTGTAATGTATAACAGAACATAAGACTACCGTACAAGCAGCAAAAATTGCAATAGTGAGCTGGGCGTGGTGGTGCACGCCTTTAATCCCAGTACTTGGGAGGCTGAGGCAAAAGGATCACTGTGAGTTCGAGACTAGTCTGGGCTACATAGTGAGTTCCAGGTCAGTCTCAGTTACATAGTGAGACCCTGTCTCAAAAAAAAAAA